AACTCACAGAAATCCACCTGCCTCTGCCTCCTGAGTGCTGGGATTAAAGGCGTGCGCCACCAACACCCGGCTTATCCTTGCATGTTTTGTTTTTGTTTTATTTGCCATGAAAATATTTAGGTCTGGGTACTCTGTAAAGAACATACATTGGTATTGCTCATAGTTCTGGAGGTGCAGCAGTGTGGCACTGGCTTCTGCTTCTCTCCAGTGAGGGATTCACAGCAGACCCCTTCAGCATCGTGAGAGCATGTGTGGGAAGCAGCCTGGAGTCCAGGGTGGTGTCAGTTCACTTAAGGCAACCCATCCTCATGCCTATGAATCCATCCCCAAGAGATAAACTGATTCCAGCCAGACAGCATTGAATCCATTCCTGAGAGGGGAGGCCCCGAAACCTACCTCTTAAGGTTACATGACCTTACATGAACTCTGGGGCCCAGAGTTCCAGCATGCAAACCTTTGGGAGATAAGCCACATCCAGACCACATATTTCTCTCAGAGTCCCTTGCAGCTAGAGTTCCGACTATAATTTCAATCCAAAGAAAAACATTATGAGACACCCAATGTGTCTTTAGAACGTGGATGTGTGGAGGGTTGTTCCTTTTCTTCTCTTTTCCTTTCCTTTCCTTTCCTTTCCTTTCCTTTCCTTTCCTTTCCTTTCCTTTCCTTTTTCAAGACAGGGTTTCTCTGTAGCTTTGGAGCCTATCCTAGAACTCACTCTGTAGAACAGCCTGGCCTTGAACTTACAGAGATCTGCCTGCTGCCTGCCTCTGCTTCCCAAGTGATGGGATTAAAGGCATGTGCCACCACTGCCTGGCCCACTTTTTTTTTTTTTTTAATATGGAACACTTCAGTAATTTCTATGCCATCCTTGTGCAGAGGCCATGCTAATCTTCTGTGTATCGTTCCAATTTTAGTATAAGTGCTGTTGAAGCGAGCACTTATCTTCTTAATGTAGATTTTAGTTACCATGACATGCTTCTAGAGGTAGTGTTTTGATTTCTGAGGAAACTAAAGCTGTGTCTTTCTAGAGTCAACCAGGCTCCAGTGGCAGGCAGTGGGAGCCTGACCAGCAATGGCATCTTCCTGATGCTGAAGGGACAAGCAAGTTCTAGAGGACTCCTCTGAGAATGATTCTTGTGGCTATTCTCTACAACAGACTCTCTGAGTACTGAACTACTCACACAACTGAAAACATTTTCTTTTCAGACATCTAGTGTACTCTCCAGTACCTGTCATGAAATCCTGACAAATAAATCAACATTTCAACATTTTTCTTATGTCTATGAATCAACACTCCTTCCCCCTCTCTTCCTCCCTCCTTTCCCCTCTCTTCCTCCCTGTCTTCCTTCTATTTCATTTACTCTTTTATCACACTTATATTAAATATCTACTGAAAAGTGACCCACTGGGGTTACAATAATACACAGGACTCAGTTTTTGCCCTTAAGCTGATGACAGATTACTGGAATGGGTTCAAAATCAGTCTAGTTTGGCAAATTTTATGCTGGGAGTGAGTCATGGCTTACATCTGTATAGGAAATGGGCACTATAAGTTGGCTGTAGAGCTGTACAGGGTGTTCCAGTGGGCTTGACTTCTTGACTGAGCTCAGAAATCTGAGTATGAATAGCCTACATAGCCAGCAAGTGTGGGATAGAACTTGTGAGAGAGTGTGGGGTTCTGGGCGACCTACCAGTGTTTTATGATGGCTGTTCTTAAATACAGTGTGAGTGTAGGAAGAGGTGAGGGCAACTGAGAGACAGCTTGAAGGATAAATTAGTACTAAAAGTATATGCCCTAAAGAGAAGACATTGATCTGTCCAGGTGGGAGGCAATTGTGGCCTAAGGTTTGGAACAAGGCCACACGTTGCAGTAAGGAACTTGCTTCAATGACCCACAGATTAGGAGACAAGATCTAGACAATGATGCTGGCTACTAGGATAGAGAATCTGTTAGAAATATTATGGTGAGGGCATAGATTTGATAGGACTCAGTAACTGTTTGAGGCCAGAGGTACTATTGAATGTGGAGGGAGAGTATAGAGCAAGGGTACTCTTATTTTGCAGCCTAGATACCTGGGGTATTAGAAAACAGTAATCACGTCTGAGAAAGAAGATTCATCGGAGAGGAGCAGGATATTCCTGAAGGAAGTGGGAAGAAGGTGAACTGATTTTCAATTGTATAGTGTTTGAGATGCAGGTTAGAGACACCAAATGGAGATGTTCAGTTATCATCTGTACACATAGACCTCGATGCTAGAAGGCATTTCCCTAATGACAAAGACCTACACGTCATATTTGAAGCCTTGAAGCAGAAGAGAGAACATGGAGTGAAGGGCACACCAACGAATGTCACATTATTTGACAATGTCACTCAAAGCATCTGTACTTCCTGGCAGCTTAAAGTTACACTTTTGTATATTCAAGTCCATATATATATATATATTACAATAGTATCTTGAATATAAGTGCTCAGCAGGTAGAAATGAAATCAATCAATAATGGATTCATTTGGTCATTTATTTTAAAAGGAGAGGTATAAGCTAGATCTTTTTCATGATCTCAAGGAAAGGCAGGGAATCAGAGACCCTTAGAAAAGACAGACTTCGGGTTTTAGTATAGGCAATCAGGTAAGGGAGCAAGCATCGAACCCCAGGTGGCATTTCCAACCTTCTGGCCAATCAGAGCACCAAGGATTACAGGCTCTGGGGCCACTGATGGGGGGGGGCACCTAGAGTAGTAGCATCTCAAATATCCCTACTTCTCACCACCAGTCAGGGCTGGCTCTATGTGCCAAGCCTGTTTCAGATCTTCCTTTGCCCTTGTTTAGAGACCTATTAAGAAAGTTTCTTATGTCGCTTAGTGCCTGGTGAGGCAAAACTTCCTTTTCTTTTGCCCTAAAAAGGTCTCTTCCAAGCTTCACTGGGTGTCATGTCTGAAGTACTAGCCACTTCCCTTTGCTCAACTCCCAAGAGCACCATTACTTCCTGCACAGTGTGCAAACTGCCTTGCATGCAGCCTCCCACCCCCGCACAGTGAATGTCTGCTCCTGGTCCCCAGTGCTTCTGTGACCTATGGGCCTGTGGGCAGGTATTGCAACCGTCTGACATTGGTCTTCAGGCTCAGCAAGTAGGGCAGACACAGCTGACCACAGCTTCTCTCAGGGGGCCACAATGGAGGAAGAGTTCTGAGAATCCTGCTAATGACTCTGCAAAATCATCGGTCCCACAGCAACGATTAGTAAACTTTAATGTGTTTTCCTCCATCTGCTACTCTGCAAAGCTATTTGTTCTAGCCGGCATTAATTCAATACGATCTATCTGGGCTTACTATTTACACAATTCCCAGGACACTCTCCCTTCCCTTTGGAGAACACAATTTGTGACAAAAAAAAAAGTTTCACTTCCTGAACACTTTCTTCAGCCTCCATTTAATAGCCCTATTTGTTTCTTCATACGACATATCACGCTCCAAAATTATATTATGTATTTGCTCAGGTATTTTTTGGCCTGTTCTGAGCAATGGAGTATGAGTTCCTTTATCATATCATATTCACACACATGTCTGAAACCTATCATTCTCAGAGCTTGCACACCATAGTCATTTTAAATGAGTGAATCTTGCTCTCCATTTTCTCTTCCAAATGTTCCTCCATTCTTGCCTTAGATGAAATCTGCCTTTTTGTCCAGGACTGTTTGTCTCTCTCAGAAAGAGAAGGAAGACCTGGTATCCCTGAGCTCTGGATATGCCAGGCCCAGGAAGATGGGCAAGCATTTTGTTGTCTCTCTGCCATCATTGGCAGATTATGGCTTGTCTGATGTTCATAAAATTCACAACCAACCAAGCAAACAAAGCTCCGGTCTTGTGAGCTGTATCTGTCATCACATCATTTAGCTACTAGCTTCCTGGTCTTCCCCTTTGTTTATCAGACATTTGGCACTTTGAACCAAGTGTCGTAAGCCCCACAGGTCCTTGTCCATCTCAGTGCCCAACACAGAGACTTCCAGGCCCCTCGACTTTCTCACCTTTGGGGATTTCCACCTTCATTCCTTTCCTGACATTCACTGCCAGGGTATTATGAACTGCTCATCATCATGCCGTGGTCATCATCATTCTTTTTTTTTTTTTTTTTAATTTATTTTCGAGACAGGGTTTCTTTGTGTAGTCCTAGCTGTCCTGGAACTTACTTTGTAGACCAAGCTGGCCTTGAACTCACAGAGATTCACCTGTTTCTGCCTCCTGAGTGCTGGGGTTAAAAGTGTGTGCCATCACCACCTGGCTCACCATCATTCTTGACCCTTTCACCTCTACAGCAGGCACATGTAAGCATGCTGTCCTCTGACTAAATGAACTCTAAGAGTCTTATGGCATGCTCCCCCTACATTTCCTTTTCCCCCATTAGCACCACTAACCATGAATTTCAACCACCTAGAGGCCTGTTGTTCCTTGACCTACCCACCTCCTCTTTGGAAGTCTTCATTTCCTTCCAGCCACTTCCTTGGATCATTGTTCTGTCCATATTCCCCACAACTTGGCTTCTCTGCCCTCTCACTGTACAGTAGGCAGACAGGTTTAATGTCCAGGGACTACCCTCTTGGATTTTGTTAAGAAGTCTCTGGGCACCTCAGGAAAACATGGCAGATCAGCATCATGTACACTGGTGATATACTCAAACTTCCTGGCCTTTGTGATTGCTTTAGCAACCTTTCTACAGTTCTCTAGCTGACTGGCTCTTCCATCTCCACAGAAAACACTTAAAAGCATCTCCTCTTTAATGTCCTACTGCACCAAATCTTGCTTCAGTTAAAGGGAAAATTACATAAAATAGCAAAAGACTTAAGACATTCTTAGTTTTCACCTGTCTCTACTGAATCTGATGGAGTTTGTCCCCTTTACTTTGTCTCATCCAATGGGACCAGAAAGCTATTCTCCAAGGCAAGTCTACTCTTTGGCTTTGTGTCCTATATAACCTCCCGAAAGTACTCAACATCATTCAGTAAGCACCTTGGGGTGCTTGGCATATTTGAGATTACTCAGCCTCTTCCTAAAGCCTGTAATGTTTTTGTTCCTACTTGCTAAAATTTATGCAAGGTAGAAGAAAACTGTTCTATGCTATTTATCCCACTATTACTAAATAAGATCCTAGTTAGTCCTTATTTCAAAGTCCAAAGGCCTGCTTGTTTGCTTGCCATACAAACAATACTGCTTATAGTGGTAGCATTCAAAGTTAACAAGGAAAGAAAAAGTTTCAACAGCTCAGGGAATATCTCTTCTCCCTCACAGCTTCAGTAAGAGAGATGAGGTTCTGCAACATAAACTTGTTCAGAGACTCCATTTGAGAGCCACTGAACTGAGAACAGCCACAAGCTAGCACTTTCTCTCTGCACATTACGAAGAGTGTAATGAATGCACATTACCGTCACCAGTTCTGAGCTTGGCTAAAAGAAATGTGTCCTGCAAGCAAAGGGGGCTTATTATAACTAGAGGCTAAAGAACTTGGTGCTTTATCCCACAGAAATGATCACCTCTCCTCAAAAGGAAACAGGTCATTTTAATCTGTTGTTTTAACTGAAAATGTGTTCTTGAGGTTTTAAAACAGACCCACGAATCTTGAGACCTTTATCAGTAAGAGGTGGGGCCTAACTTCCCTCCCCTTGAATGTCAGCTGGAGTTAGCAAATAGGATGAGAGGGAAGTTACACTGAATGACTTCTGAAGTGAGGTCGTGAAATGGTACACAGCAGTTGTCTGCTCTTTTTCCAGACATCTGCTTCTGGAAGCCAGTCCCCATATTGTGGGGATGTGGGTAGGTGAAGTGGTGTGAAAAAGGCACCTAAAGGTGTTTTGGCTGTGTCACTGCGAACCCTTCAGACAGCCACCATCAACTTCCAGACCTGTGAGGAGGAAACTCAGGTGACTCCTGGGCCTACTCTTTGAGCCCA